CCATAACATGAGTTATACCACACATGCTCAGCCCCTTATGCATGAGGATGCAAATGGTCACACGTGTATGGTGGATGGTTGCTCCATCACAGCAAAAACTATTGAGGTCACGATTATTTAACGAACACGTCCATTGGAGTGCTTCGGTAAGTTTCCTCGAACCAAGCTCAAGGCGAATAAGCGGTTTAGAAAAAGAGAGAGAAGAAGAGGCCTGTGCTGCTTGATTTTATCATGGAAGCCAAAATTGGAAAGAAAAAAGGAAGTTCCCTCAGTTTTCCCGTTAAAGACGGAAAAATGTGAAATGTGAGCAATGCTGGTGGCATCACTGGAATTATATGCACGACTGCTAAAGTTCTGCACTGCTGGGCGGCGGCGGAGATGACAATATGGGATGTTGCATCATACCTCACACGTTAAGGTAGATATGCTACGAGAGGCGTTTTCTCTTTAACCTTCAAGTCAAGACTGAGAGGCGTCACTTATGACCCCAGCTGTATTTAAATATAGAGTCATTTAGAACTGGAATTATATAATATGGCATCTTTAAAAAAAATAATTAGGATTTAAACATGTTGATTTTAGTGATATTTGCTAGCAATTAGATTCAAGATTCAAAGACTCACAGATTTTTTTGTACATGTCATCCTGACAAAGAGAAAGACAGTTTCTCTCTCACCTTAACATAAAAAATGTCTCAGAAATATGAAAAGAAAATGTATATAAAAATTAAACCTGTGTACATCAGTGGCAGCGGTGCAGGATGCAAGTTATTCCAACTCATTGTAAAAGTTAAAAATGCCAGATATTTCAGAGCTAGATATTTTAACCCTTTTTACACAAAACACACTTTATATATTACACATATACAAATAAAATGCTACTTTATGTTTTAACCAGAAGCAAAACAAAACCTGACGGTTCAATTAAATTTATATTATAAAGTGTCACAGCAGTCACTTCAAGATGCTTTATATTGTGAGGTAAAGATCAGACAACAACCTATAAGCAAGCACTTGATCACAGCGGGAAGGAAAAATTCATCTTTAACATGAAGAAAACTCCAGAGAAAGAAAGGGGAGGGAAAAAGGAGAAGACGAGAGGCGAGGACAAAGAGCCTATGGGAGAGAAGACGAAGGTGACAACATGCAGTAGCTGCATATAAACACATGGGCAAGTGAGAGGTGAGTGGAGAAGAAATGTAGCCTAAGGACCATGATAAAGGTTCTCAAAAAGCAACATTTACAAAAGTAGAGAAGGTATCCGTCTCCCGAATCCAAATTGGAGACTTGCCTGAAAGCTGAAGGCTCCGCCTCCAATTCTAATTTTGGAAATTCTAGGAATGCCAAGCAAGTCAGCATTGTGAGAGTAAAGGGGGGAGGATATGATACTACTATGATATTCTCATCATTCAGTACTTTTATTTTTTTTAAATAAGGAGAAGGATTTTGAATTCAAATTCTAGATTTTTTAGGCAGCCAGAGAAGAGAAACCAAGAAACTGAGATATATGACCTCTAGTTCAATTCTTTGTTGGATATTATAATATCTTTATAATAATAATTGTTGTTAAAGTTACACAGCTTATCTGGTACCCAACCTTTAGTTTATTTTCAGTTTTTTTTTCTGTCGTAAGAAAGAAAAAAGTTTTGGTGGCGATTCAGTTCAAAGTGGTTCACCGTCTCCATTGGTCTAAAACTAGACTGAGCAAAATCAAGGATGGGTTTGACCCCACATGTGACCGGTGCAAACAAGAGCCTGCTTCCCTATTTCACATGTTCTGGGCATGTCCAAAACTGGCTAGCTTTTGGAAAAGCATATTTGAAACCATGTCCAACATATTTGGTGTTCCAATTGCACCCTGCCCGTTTATAGCCATTTTTGGGGTGACGCCTTGTGATGCCAGTCTTTCCAAATCACACTCTGATCTTCTGGCCTTTTGCACTCTTTTGGCCCATAGACTGATGTTATTGAAATGGAAAGAGCCACTTCCACCTGTATATGGGCAATGGGTTAAGGATGTCATGTACTATACTCAGCTGGAAAAGATCCGCTACACTGTAAAAGGTTCGGTTCGGAGGTTTTATGACACATGGCAACCTTTTCTTACTTACTTTGAAAGATTAAGTCCAGATACTATTGCTTAATGTGCGTGTGAGTGGGGGTTTTTTTTGTTTGAAAGAAAAAAGTTTTGGTTTGTAAGAAATGTCATGTTTCTTGTACACACAAGTGCACAAGTTGTGGTACTGCTTGAGTTTATCAGACGTTATCTATTACCCAAAGTACCCCTGTATCTTTCAAAGAGCTGGGAGCCAGACACATTTACAGCCATCCTTGGAGTGAGCACCTCTTTGATGAAGTGTGAAACCCTGTTTGAATGATGACTGCAAAAAAAGTTAATACTACAGCAGTGAACATACTACAGCAAACACCATCACATCTGGAGAGACTGAGACTTCTTTACTATAAGAAACTCCACATATCTGATATATCTGGGATAATGTACCAGCACTTCCTCAATGGGAAAAACGAATACGCAGTGTGTTTCCTTCTTCCTTACATTTGTATATTCAGCCCTGATGCAGCTCTTTTAATGCTGCATCAGGGATGTTGTGGCCATTGTTGTCAGATGCGTGTGGGTGTTTCTCTGTTCAAAAATAGTGTGATCATAAACGAGCACACTCTGCTATTTTAGCTGATAAAATCTACATTACTTGAGGGTTAATATATTCAAGTGTACACGTCCACATTCTGGGAAATGGACGCCACACACATGTATTTATTTTACTGGAATAAAATCAGCAGACTAAACCTTTTCCTCCTTTTATTTGAACTGAACTAAGCTACAGCTGCGATGACAGAAACCTTAAAACCTGGATTAACTTTTAAAAATCCAGAAAGGACGGGCCACAATCTTAAAAGCACCTCATGCGCAGTACGGAACTTACGAGAACAGCAGTCTTAAGCGACTGTATTAGTCCCAAATCAAACAATGAGTGTGTAAATATGCCGAGTGAGGAGAGGAGGACGCAGCAGGTTGGGAATGCAGTCGAAACTAGCGTGAAACTCCAGTTCCGGACAGGTAGAAACTTGTATGTGTTGCCGAACCAGTAAGGTGAGGAATAAGAAAGTGGAGTTTACAGCTGACAGTCAGCATCCCAGCAACACAGACACGCACACAAATTAAGGCAAGCGCGTTAAACTGTGAGGGAACTCCAACAAAAACACGCAAAATGACTAAGAAGAAAACCACAGCTGTCACACAGGCCTGTGAGGACTGCAGTCAAGCAGCGACAAAGCTTTCAGTCCTGGAAACATCCGACTAACTTCATCTAAAGTGAGAAAAACCACAGAAAAAAACTTTTTTGATTTAGAGTTATGTCACACACGATCCTTCAGCTTTACCTTTCACTCCACAGGCTAAGCTGAGATGGTTTGATTACCTGTGCAGGAGGAAGGAAACACCGACAGAAACGACGCTAACTCACCTGTAAACGTGCCCTTCGTAGCTTCGAGGCGTCTTCCTTCGCTCTCAGACCGCTTTCGTCCAAATAAACAGTAGTCCTCCTCGTTAAGGTCTCACCTGCCCGCCTCGTCTGTACTTCTAAAAGTTTCTCCTACAAATCTTCCTGAAAGCAGGTGTAAGCAGGAGGCGTGGCGTTAACTGTTCAACGTACAGGTGAAAAACGTCATCACGTCGGGGGCAGCGTCTATCAGGAAGTGAAACCTCCCTGTTTGCTTTGGGCGTGTGCTTTACGCAATTAT